CGTCTTACTATTATTGGTGTTACAGAAACTCGTATATGCGATCGTGAATGTAGTTTTAATTTTGTACCAGAATTACCAGGATACTGTTTTGAATCGGTCCCAACACCTTTATCACCCAGAAATGAAATGAAAGATTATGTAAAATATCTTGGCTTAATGATTGATTCAAATCTTTCATGGAAATACCACATCGAATCTGTCTGTCACAAAATCAGCAAGTCGATAGGAATTATAGCTAAAATTCGACATTATGTCCCGCGTCGTGTTTTACTTTCAGTTTACAACTCATTAATTGTCCCTTACTTGACTTATGGTATTTGTGGTTGGGGAAATTGTGCCTTGACATTTCAACGAAAGATCGTAACTCTACAAAAACGGGCCTTACGTCTCATTTACTTCAGTAAGTCTAAGGAACACGCCGTACCCTTCTTTCTCAAATCAAATTGCCTTCCCCTGCCTAGCATATTTTTCAGAGATTGTAGCTATTTATTGTATGATATCAACAGACAGACAGCACCAGTTAGTATTCTCAATCAGTTCGTTAAAACAAGTCAGATTCATAACTACAGAACAAGATCTGTCTCTAGCGACTCGTTTTATGTTAAGTTCTCTAGAACCGATAAAATGTATGCCTTTTTCACGAGAATCGGTTCCCAAATTTGGAACTCTATTCCGTATTCGATTAAAATACTTAAACGTTCGTCCTTTCGTAAAAAAATAAAGGAATTATTACTAAATTTTTTGCGGTCAGAAGATGATTATGTCGAAGTCTCCCGTCTTATTAAGTTATTTAATACTTTAGGTTAACCTCTCTTCGTAATCGTTATGTACATGCCTTGTTTTATGTTAGTTTAAACTCTATTTACTGTATTGTAGTGTCTTCACTGTTATTTTTAGTCCATCTATATATAATTCTTGTTTTGTAATATGTGTTCAGCTCCCCCCGCCTCGATTAGTTCATAAGCTATTTGCGGGTGGGAAAGTAATGTAATTAGTTATTTTCCAATTTTCAATAAAATTTGTTGTTGTTTTTTGTTAAGCCTTCGCTTTTTTGACGCCATACTCTGGCCTTTGGAGCCATTGCTGTGCTCATGAGATTGGTCTTGTATACGAAAGACACACCATCTAAATAAAAAGCTACTTCGTCTGTCCAAAAACCTGGGAAATCTCGTTCGTAGCGTGCCATTTTCCTTGCATACTGAAGCCGATCTTTTTTGTCACTTTCTTTCAGAAGACCCTTTTTTCTAGCTTGTAAGAACCAGAAACCCATCTCATTTAAGCATCTGGAATACGTGCAAATACTTGCGGTTTGAAGGCTTAGTCCACTATAAGTGACAAGTCTCTTAACAGTTACTGCTACACCTTGTCTCCTCATTTTCAAGAGGTCTCTTTTCAATAACTGCTTCATACGGTGTGAAATCTTTCTTGGTCGACCGCGTTTCTTTGAGTGGCCCGAGTTTCGTCTTTGAAAAAGATTCTCATTGCAAATTCTTTCGGCGGAAAGAGGTTGAAACGTTACATTTCTCAGCAGTTTTCGGATAACTCAGGCCAGATTCTTGGCGTAAAAATATTGCTAACGCTCTTTTCTCTGGAGGTATTTTCCCTCTGAATACCACTGGGTAATCAATAGATTGAAATTATTTATTTCTGTATTGGAATATCAACAGCTTGTTATATATAGGTTTCGGATTCGGAGCCTAAGAGAATACAGTCTAGAAAATTCTGCACTCATGTCACACCCCTCCTGGCCCACAGGTTTCACGCATACGTGTGCAACTAGAATTTTCCAGTGTTTCTCGAAAACGTTTATTGTCCCTAAGCCTCCTGCTAACTGTAGCTGTTTTTCAAGTCGTTTCTCTTTGTTTCGTCTTTAAAATCATCGCACTCACTGAAATGACACAAAGTGAAACTGTGTAACTGAATAGACGCAAAAATGCATAACAACAAAAGTGTGACATTTAGCACTAATTGCTCTCATGCCTTCTAATTTCATGTACTGAAACTGACAAGCTATGGCGATTCTTTCCTCTTTCTCCAAACAAGGAACCTTCATTTAATCTATTGCCGAAAAGTAAGCAACATAAATGTTTTTTTCCGACTTTAAAAAACAATCTACACATGCTAGTGGATTTTGTGGTCACGCTTTGACATGTCACGCATGCGAGATACAAGGATCTCATGATGATGATTTTTACGAAACTAAAGCTTTATTCCATTTTATATACACATTGTAAAGTACATTGTCAGTAGATTTCCAGGGTGAGAAATCTCAGCGAAATGTTAAAAGCCACATGTTTTACAAGCGTTAAAAGACGATTGTCTATTCTCACACAATCATCGTCAAAAATGTTGGGAAGGTTACCAATTGTTACCTTTCTTGTACTTGTCCCCCCCCCCGCCCCCTTGGATCAATGTTGGACAAACCTAAATTGTTTTTGTGCGTAATTGTTGTTACATGTCTCAACATTGAATAGGGGGCGCGGGGGTATTCAGGAGAAGAACAAATAATCTGTTTTGAATATAGACATGAGGCGTTTGAAATGGGGCTATAATGTTGTTAAGTTATTCCAACTTCCCAACTACTTTTGTCCGTGATTGTAGCTTAAGCACTCTTTTCTTTCATCATCCGCCTCTCATATTTTGAACAGGTGAAAATCTGATCTACTGTAAATTTTTTGAAGAATTGCCTCCCAGCCTCGTCGTCTTTAACAATGTTCTTTACGGCTGGCTTTGAGAAAATTCCATTCTTTGATTGCAGGCTAAATAGCCGAAGAAAATCCTCCTTTTCCCTTTGGGAAAAAAGTTTCAGCTCATTTAACTTGAATTAGATGGTAGCACAAATTCTGAACAACTTGAACTTGACATGTAGCAACTGTTGGTGAACTGCACCAGCAGTCTCCAAGCGACTTTCATCATGTTTGCAACGCCATTCACTGCAAACTCTGTTTCCGGCCCTTTTAGGTTCTTGATTGCAAAGGATCAAACCTTCTGTTCTCTTTTCTCTGACTACTGCCATCACCAGAAAGAGAAAGATCGGTCGATCAGTGACATGATACGTAACAAAACAACAAAGTATAACATACAAGTCTTATCATGAGGGAAAATGAGAATCAAGCGATGAACATGCCTTTTACTGAAGCACTGCTGACCGGTACTTGCATGCATGACCACTTTCTTTTAGTCTCTTTTTTGGTATACAAAATTCTTAAACAGCAAACTTAACGGCAAGCAAAGTGATAATAATAGTTTCAGTTAAACGCTCCACTGATTGTTTAATTAAAGTCTGTAACAAAGTCATTGTTACACGCTGGGCATTGGCGCTCAAGGTTGCGCCTACTGCATTGTGGAACAGGAGCAGAGTCGCTATCTGTTGCTATCACTGCTATCAAAGGGGGCTCCGTCTGAATCAGAAAGAGGCTGCAAGCTGGGAGGGGCTTCCAGGGGGGCAGGAGGGCTGTCTTCTCGTGGAACATCCTGAGTAGGAGGAGTCAAGATCGCACTTGGTATTGATGGTGGGACGAGGGGTGCTGGAGGAACTATTTGGATCATCAAGAGTGGCATACTTAGACCAGTCAATTCTCTCCAAATGCGGTAGAAACTTAGTTGTGTTGACTTGATTTACATCTCGAAGAAAAACAGTTTCATTAGATGCTGAGATTGAGGTGTCGAAATGAATAGAAAGTATAGGCAGATGGTCAGTCCACTCCTAGATCTATCGAAAAATTGGTTGACGAAAATGTTGTCAATTAAAGTTGCCGAATGACAAGTTATTCTTGTAGGGCGCGTAATCGATGGAAAGTACATATTAGAATATAGCGCATCTAAAAATTCACCAGTAACGGAATGACTTTGGTGGTTCATTAGATTTAAGTTAAAGTCACCCTTGAATAACATACTTCATTTTCTTTTGAAATCTTACTTAATAGATCATTGGTCATTGTTCAAAATTCATCAACGTATTGGTTTGGCGGCCTGTAAATCACACCAGTAACAATGTTCTTTCCCTGGGGCTTACGAATTTCAATAAACAAAGATTCTGCGACGTTTGGCAACGAAAAATCAAGATCGCATGGAAATTTAAAATTCAAATTGCTAGAAACATACAGACCAACTCTACCACTGGATCTATTTTCCCTACTTTTATGAACAAAACGGTAACCGTCGATGTCGACTGACGACAACGAATCATTTAGCCAAGTTTCGGAAATACCAATCAAAGAGAATTTTAAATTTACGTTAGATAAAAGATCCGTTAATTTGCTAGCATTACATTGTAGGCTACGAATGTTTAGATGCAGTAGAGAAAAGCTGTCACAAATACGTGAATCTTCACTAGATAGCATGTCATTAAATTGATCTTCGATAAAATATTCACAATCATCGCTAAATAAATCCGTGAGGTTGGTGTCAGGGTCAAGGTCAAATGAACGAGCTAGATTTGTTCTAATATTGTGGAGTAAAGGATTGAAACATAAACTAGGCAATCTATCAGCATCATAGCGAACAGGACCATTTTGCATTTAATAAATTGCTAGGTTGAAGTCGGCGTCACCAAGGTCGTTAAAGGGAAATGAAAATTCCCGAAAGACAGACATTTTCAATGAGGGGGAAAACAAAATTGACACAAAAAGATGAAAAACAAGGGGGAAAATAGTAAATAACTTAGCTGTTCTCGACATTAGGTCTGTCTCTAATAACCAGTTTATCTAACACAAAATAAGCGATCTTCCCGCACTCTTGGCTGCTTCCATCTTTGCACGTTGACTACGTGGACTTTCTCTTTTCTCAAGGGTTGCTGTAAATAAATATATTGTCGGGTTTCATTCTTCGGGCACATTTCAGGATCGTTTCCCTGTCTTTCCAATACAAATTCTTAACTTCTCTGGCTTGTTGACTAGAACCAAACTAGACACCCAATTTGTAGGTTCTGTAACAGAGGTGACAACTTTCACTCTGACTAACTTGTCCAGTTCTTCCTTTAAACGATCTCTCAGTGTTACAGGTACTTTTCTAGGGGGGTGGACAACAGATTTTACAGTTTCATCAAGTTCCATATGGTATGGGCCATCCATGCATCCTAATCCCTCAAAAACGTCACTGTACTCTTTCAAAATTTGATCTCTGGTTAGAACAATGTGGGCAGTTTGAACGTTGTCATTTACTGCGTTCACAGTTTCTGACTCTGAAATGTCACTTGCCATAACCTTGATTAAGTTCAGTTCCTGACATGTCTCAGCACCCAATAGAGGCCTGACATCCTCATCAATTATAAAAAAATCTGCATCTCTACTCATCTCACCTTTGGCACATTTGAGAGTGCACTTTCCAAGTGGAGTCACAGTGGTTCCATTGTACATCTTGAGTATTGCAGATGTTTTCTTCAAATAGAGATCTTTGGGATCCCCCATAATGCTTGAGAATTCTTTTAGTGATAGCAAATTACAAGTTGCTCCAAAGTCCAACTGAAATTTAACATCTTTAGCATTGTTTACTTTGACTGATGTAAACAACTGTTGTGGGTATTTATTTTCTTCAACAGCACTGACTTGATAAGTTATTACATCAATAGTATACTCTTCAAATTGACTCCCATCTGAATCTTCTTGCACATAATTCAATTCTGATTGGACTGCCTTCCTCCTGTACACTTGGCAGCAAAATGGTTGCTTTTTCCACACTTGTTGCACTGTTCGCCATATGCAGGGCACTTTGATCTGTCTGGTACATGTTTCCTACCACAAACCTTGCAGTCGATCTGCTGAGTACTTCCGTTTGCTGATTTCTTCTTCTCTTCTTGTTTCTTTCGGAAGAATTTTCGTTTCTTCTTCCCCACTGCATTAACCTCGTGCAAGTTTTGCATTTGTTTCAACTGGCTTTGGGTTGCTTCAGCAGCTTGTGCAATTTCTAGAGCTTTATTCAGCGTCAAATCTGGGACTCGCAGCAAATGCTCTCTCACGTTGTTATCAGCGATTCCAAACACGATGCGGTCACATATCAATGAATCTTTCAAATCTTGCAATTCACAAGAGTCTGCCATGTTTCGTAGAACTGTGGCATATTTATCAATGGGCTCCCCACTTTCCTGTCTACGCGGAAAGAATAAATAACTTTCGTAAATTGTATTCTTGCAAGGCTCACAATACTGCTCAAAATGCTCTAGAACTTTATCCATTTTGACTTTGTTTTTGTCACTGTCCCACGTTAATGCATTGTAAACATCTGGCGCTTCGTCGCTGATCACGGTGAGAAAAGTTGCTGCTCGAATGGGGTCTTCCTTTCTGGCTGTTCCGATAGCTACAGTCTCAGTCAAAATGGTTGGGACACTTTGGGGTCTCCTTGTCCCCTCAATGTTGGTGTACAAGATTTGGTGAACGAGCCGCGATAAACAACTTTGAGAGGGACGAGGTGAGCACGAGAAGGGAAAAAACAGCGTTTGGCTAAAGTGTCCCCAACTATTTTTGTCTGGGACTGTAGCTCATAGTTACTCCACTTTTGTTTAAATCTTTTCCAGTTTTGAGATACATTTCCACTTGAAAGCTGCAGATGATCCGGCAGGTGTAACAAACGCCCGGCCGCCATTTCACACCACGCGGTGTTGATTTATGCGAACAGCAATGAACCAAGGTTTTCACAAGACAAATATTTCACAATTGCGGTCGGCAAACAGCTTCATCCACTAACTTCTGACACCATGTGTTAGTCCTTAGCTTCATAGGGAGCAAAATCAACCAAACAGTCTTTAATCAGGGAAAACTCAAATCAACTTCAATCAACTTACAAGAACGTCCCCTAAAACGTTTTACGAGTGTGCGATATTATGTCAGCGGTATTGACCACTACTTCATAATATCACATGCATCTTGGTAAGAACTGAGTTAAACCTCACGGTATCAAATGCCTTTAAATAGTCGGCCATTACCATCAAGGTGACCTCACCCCTCTTCATGGCGCAAATAAGATTGTCCCGAATACCGTGCAAAACAGTTGTGGTTGACTAACCTTTCCTGAAGCCCGAGATGCTTGGGAGTAATAAAGATAGTTCATCAATATAGTGGACGAGTTGCTTGAGCACCAAACGCTTGAAGACTTTGGAGAGCACAGGAAGTATAGAGACCGGTCAATAGTCTACATCTTGTTTTAAGTCTTCGACTTTCGGGATGAGAGATGCGTGCAGATTTCCAGATGAATGGAAACTGCGAAGTAGAGATACAGACGTCCATAAAATGTGCAAGAGGACCGGTAAGGAAATCGCCAACCTGTTTTACATATTTGATGGGAATTTGGTCAACGCTAGTAGAACAGTCTCATCTAAGTAGGCTAATCTCTTTGAGAACCTCCCCAGTAGATACCACGTGGAGCTAGAAAGGATAACGATCGGATTCAGGAAGTGAGTTAATTAAATCTACTAGATCAGTGGCCTCGTCTGGTAGCGTGCCCAGTGTTTAATCTGTTGTCTTGATAAAATAACAATTCAGCTGATCAGGATCTGCAAGAAAAGGCCTGGGGCTAGGGTGAATATCTCTATGGATAACCCATGGTCGCTTTGACGAGAGAGCAGTGTTCAGAAATGCTCTATTAGCCTTTCCCATGACAACCTTTATCCTATTACACACAGCTCTGAGCACAGTCCATGTCTCATCAGTGCCACTGCAATGGGCTTGTGCCCTTAGCTTGTCCCTCGTAGATTGCAACTCAGGAGCATTTCGTCCTTTACGCAAATATGCACGCGTATACTTGAGAAATTGGTAGGATTTTTTAAAGATTTTTTGTTAAAAAGTAAAGGCCATTTGTAGTGTCATGACTTGACCTTGTATTGTGCAAATGTGTTCCTGTCTGTCTCGCTGTTATTCCGTATCGTTTCATACAAAAAATACAACAGTTTGAGTACTGGACTGTGATTAATTCGAAACATTCTTGAAATGTTTCCCTTCAGGCGATCCCCCAATACAATGCATATTCATGAAAAAACGGAAGGGGATTGGGGCAATTAATGCAAAACATTCAGTTGTCAGCAAAGGTGCGAGGCAAGAAAGAATTGACTGTGACTGATTAGCATTCCTTTCACGATTTATCTGGAAAGTTTTCTCATTCAAAAGGAATTCATGTTTTAGTTTTCTCTATAAATGGCGAAAAAGTCTATTAAAGACTATTTTAATGTTGCTCATCTGGGAAACCATGGACCGAACATTGCCGACGATAATCCAGGTAAGCTGAAGTAAACTATTAGGTGCACGTGTAGGGGGTCAAGGAGAATTTTCCAGGAGATTTACTAGCGAACAGATGTCTTTTTTTCAATGACAAACATTAGAGATATTCAGAAAAATTGAAAATAAATGAATGCTGCCTATAATTGTTTGTTCCTTTCCCGTGCTCATTATCAAAATAAGGGAAAACTGAAAAGTTGGCAAAGGACTAAGCGGATTACAGGAAAGCTTGACCAGTTGACGGAGGCACAAGTTCATGGGAATGGATCTAACTCCCTTCAAGTAAGACATTACAAAGATGGAGGCACCACTGGGCAATAAGGCCACCTGATGATCCCCTTCCAGAGACTCTTGTGGCAACATCTGATTAAACCAATGCCGCTTTCTATCCAGGAATCTATATGGTAGTTACGGCACTTCTCAGGCATGGGTCGCACTTGGGAATAGTTTTCATCTTTGCCGGCTAAAAAAACACGAAAATTCGAAACCACAACCGGAAAAGAAAACTTTTAGTCAAATCGAGGAGGGGCGCACTAGTATTTACTAGTGAGAGTTAATTGTCGTTGTTTTGACACATTGAGAACTAAAGTAGGCCAGATACCAGAGAAAATTATCTCTTCGTAGTCCGATCATTTGGCGTAGGATCGTTTTCCTCCTTTCCCAGTTTCAGGAGGATGGGAGAAATAAAGAAAATAAGGTGCTTGGCTGCAAAGACTGCATTTAGCTCGGAGAATAACAAACCTGTCATGGTACTTGCCTGGGTAGACTATAATTGGCTCGCCTGTAGAGAGTTCCCGTAAAAACGTTGAAATAGCGAAGGATTACAAGGTTATGAATTGGTCGCCCGTAGAGAGTATTTGCAAAAACGTTAAAATGGCAAAAAGTAGTGGTGGCCCCGTCCGTCCACAATGAAAGCGCGAAGGTCAGAAAATTTCTACGATTGGTTCAAATTTAGCTCGAGTTTTCCAAAGTCTGCCTGCCCAACCCAAGCAATACGTCGTCTTTGATGTTTTTTGCGATTTTCAATGTTTTTTCCAACTTGAAAACTTGGGTTCGCACTTGGCAATGTGCCCCGATCACAGACTTTTACCGCAAGGTAAACAAATTCTTCCAGAAATTTGCCAAGTGCGACCCATGCCTTATCTAACCTATTTCGGCGTGCGCTTTCAGTACACAATACGATGACACATGAGCGACTTTCATCCTTTTGGCGATTTTACATATATGTAAACAAAAAGAAGTTAATGTCGACAACGCCGTCAATAAATTTGCCCAACAAAAATGGAGGCGCCTCGCCTTGTGCTTGTCAGCATTTTAGTACCAGCTCAAAGAAGAACGCTTAGATTTTTTAATATCACGTTCTGTAGTAAACATGCCTCTGAACTGCTGAAATATGTCATACGAAAGCAAAAACGTTATTTTGTACTAAGTTTTTGAGATCATATCAGGACCCATGTACGTACTTGCCAAAATGGTCACAGTACGCGCCTGCAACTCATGTATCTCATCAGACGCTATATATGGGGCTGGTGGTCATGTTACCTTCACCTTCTTCTAAAAGGCGTGGCAGTTTAAGCGCTCAGTCACAAGAGAGTTCAGTGCATCCCCCATATCATCTGGTGACTCTAGTCCATAGATGACACTCAAAGGCAGAGACGAGAAATGGAAATGAAATCTTAGAATAGCAACACGCAAACACCATATTGAGGCTCCTGTTGACCCGGGAAACATAAACAGAAGGAAATCACAGCTGTTTTACCCGCACGTTTGTATATTTTGGTTATTTCTTTTCGCCCTAAATGGTCATAAAATACATAGACAAGGAAAGTACAACACTGGAAGGTATTCAGAAGCCTAAAGTGAAAGAACTAATGAATATTTTGAAGTGTGATTCAGAAAAGCCAGTGGAACAAAGGCGGACTTAGTGCTAAACTTTACACTTTGGTTGTACGGAACGTGGTGAGGCTGGCCAAAAATGCCGAAGAAAATGCGGATAATCGTGGCGACTTTGAATACAAAGAGACACTAAGACGGATTTCTGCTCTTGGATGGTCTACGGACCTGCGTCAGCTACCAGGACTTAACTTTATCCAGCTGTACGACTACCTCTTTGTATCTACATCCAAGTACCGCCATATCGTTCTTAAGGACACTAATTATAAAAAGTTGAAATCTTATCAATTTTTCTTTGAGGGAAACGTGGAACGACTGGAAAGCAAAGTTTACCAAGGCAAGACCTATGTGAAAGCCACTCTTCTTCCATCTATGAAGAAGAATTCGTACAGAGTTATAGTAGAGTTCTCACGTCAATGTGACATTGCGAGCGGCGTGAACGTGTCTGGCCGGGCTTGGCGTAAATGGAGAAGGCAAATGCAACCACATAGGAGGCGTGTTGAAGATTTCACGAGAACAGGTTTACAAAAAATGCCGAACCTCTGACCCGCACATTGCAGCTGTCTATTTGGGTTGTGCCTCGTAACCAAAGGTTTGCAGCAAAGCCACTTGACCATGTTCTGATCAGAAAGATACGATTTGGGTAGAAAAATATTCGTCTCCAACTGCCGATTATAAAATTTGATTCAAGAGCGCCAAACCAGCAAACGAGGGATGAAAAACATTTTAAGACCTTTTGTACAGGCCTTCAAAACAGTCTCCCTGCTAGTTCATTTTTTTTATTTCATGACATTAAGTCAAAGTGCTTACAAGAGGCTTACCCTGAAGAGAAAGAGGAACCAGAGGGCGTACCCTTTAATGATAACTATGATATAGCTTCGAAGCACTTCAAATACATGGTCAGTTTTTCTTTTTGTTAGTTCAATAACCACACAACAGTTCAATAAGTACACAACAGATCAATAACCACACCAGTAGTTCAATGACCACACATTAAAAAATAAAAATATAAATAAATAAATAAATGTGATGAAGGTGACATATAACCAACAGGTAAGTATTAAAATGAAAATGATAATGTTCAGTTTTTCTTTTTGTTAGTTCAATAACCACACCAGTAGTTCAATGACCACACATTAGTTCATTGAGCGTAAACTACATGTAGCTGCGGGAAAAGTAGCCACAAATACGTTAGTTAAACCAGTGAACGAGGGATGAAAAAACATTTCGAGGCCTTCTGTATTGGTCTTCAAAACAGCCTCCCTGCTAGTTCATTTTTTTTGTTCATGGCATTAAGTCAAAGTGCGTAGAAACGCCTGAACCGGAAGAGAAAGAGGAACAAGAGGGTGTAGCCCTTAATGATAGCTGATATAGCTTCTAGGCACTTCAAATCCATGGTTGATGAACACATCTCTAACTTAACAATAACCCAGGAAAAGATCCAGGAGACAGAGAAACTGAGAGGCAGACAAAACAAAAGCAATCGTTGGTTTGAAAAGAGGAAACTCTCTTAACAGCTTCAAATTTTGGAGAAACTGCCAAGACGAAAGTGGAGCCTTCAAATAGTTGAAAGTCAATCCTCTATTCAAACGTCACAACAGATGCTCTTCAATGTGGCGTTGCAAGTGAACCAAAGGCTGTGAACTTGTAAAGGAAATGAGAAGAAAAGGTGTAGATGTTAAAGTTGAAGAAGTTGGATTATTGCTGTCTAAGGAGAAAACATACTTGGGAGCCAGCATTGACAGAATTGTCACCTTCAAAGACACAGAAGAAAAATGGGGAATGGAAATTAAATCTCCTTTCAGCAAAGCAGGAATGACTGTAGAAGAGGCATGCAAAACCAGACATTTTTTTTTGTTAAACTTGGTGATGGAACAGTGAGGCTCAAACAGAATCATGGTTATTATTTGCAAATTCAAGGACAGCTTTACTGTTCTGACTTAGTCCTAAAAGGGATCATTCTCACAGTTTATTTTGGAGAGGATAAACCACTATTTTGGAGAACATTTACTCAGGCAACACTTGGTCCAGTGACTTTCTGCCTAAGATTGTTTTCTTTTACACAAAGTCTCTTTACCCTGAACTTCTTACCAAACGAGTGCAGAGGTGGTTAGTTACCATTTGGCCACTATAGCGTCGTCAGAACTGGTTTTAAATTACGATTTGAAAAAAAAGTATAAGCTTTATATTGACCTGTTAATGTGCAGAAAGTTTATTCATATTTATTTTTTTCAAATCAGGACTGTGATCTAACAGCGCCCGATGGCCTCTAGTGCCTTACTTGTACTCTTGGACGACTAAGAAATCATTCTTTCCCGTAGAAGTGCTATGCTGGGCAGCCTGAATTTCATAGGATTAGAGGCTTCAGGTTCCGTTTAATTTTTCTTAGAGCACAGCCTTGATTTGGTATTTTGTTTACATAGTAATTACCCTCCCAGTAATGAAAGATAGCTATTAAAGGAAAAATGTAACCTTCAAGTAACAGCAGTGGTGTACATTCTAATACTTACTTTTGTTGCAATGTTGCCATTCTAAGAAATTGTTGTCTGTTTGTTTTTCTGTTTTTTTGTCTGACACTCGGTTCAAAATGTATTACTAAGCAGAATCATTTATGTAGTACTAGCACAGAGGTAGAGAGTGATTCAAACTAAGCCATGAATGGACTACAATGAAATTCAGATGCTAATAAAATTGCAGAATAAGATCCACTATCAGCAACCCTGATTTGAGTAATAGGAAGACAGTTTATGTACATTGAAGAAGCCATTTCTGGGTTTTTAAAAAAAAAATTGCACAAGACAAGGCCAAATGTGAAACACTGCTGTGAAAATGTAAAATAGTTTCATTCAAAGATAAATTATATTTTTTTAGTCAATAATTTCACAATTACCCTCCTTTCGAAACAGAGACCAGAGGAACTCAGAAATGGCTTATTGGACAGTAAAAATCATCTGCCCATGCAGTCTTTTGGTTGTAAACGATAGTTAAAACCAAAAAATTATACCACTAAATAAAAACTAAAAGAAGAAACATGGTAGTTGAGTCAACAATAGTGAAAACTATGGTTTCGGTTTAGCAGGTGTTAGCAAAGGCGGAAGGAAGTTTGTAAGGAGTCCACATACAGTTGCTATCTTTGTCGCATAGGGGCTAAGCGTATTGGGCTGATTACCATCTAAAATATGGCCAGTCTTTATCCGACCAATTTCTCTCTCCAAATGGATCTGTACAGACGCAATGGTCATTGTTCCCTCTGTCTCTGCTGCAGTAACTGATCGCGTCCCACTAAAAAGGGTGGCATTTTGACTGTGACACCATGGCACAACGTCCTTTAAGTCAAAGCCACGGTCAATCATAATATTGTCTCCACTTTCAATTAAAGCCAGCACTCCACTTTCTCGAGTTATTTGTTTATCAGACACTCGTCCACCACAAAGGTCTGAAAGAAAAGACACTAGACAATTTGGTGTCACTCCCACCAGTAGCTTCCAAGTATTGTGGTGTTTGTAATCAGACCAGGTTTTTGACTTTGCAAGCGTTGCAGATGGCCGCTGAATGAAAGGCTCAGTGCAGTCCAAAATTATGCAGGTTGTCGCAAATTCAGCAAATCCGTCTGGCATATTTTTGCACACCAACTCTTGAGTGGGGAAAGGGAAAATCTCTATTAGTTTATACAGTTGACTCCCGATAACTCGTACCCTCGCTAACTCAAACCTCCCCCTAACTCGAACCAAAATCGATTTCCCCTGGATTTCCGCCAACATTTACTGTAATTTTACGCTCGATAACTCGAACTCCCGCTAACTCGAACCAATTTTCGTTTCCCCTCGGGTCATTTTCTATACAATTTTACCCTCGATAACTCGAACCATGTTTTGAGTGCTTAAAAAGTCGGGAAAACAGTGTTCTGGCGTCCGAAACATTGGATTTTGAAGTCCCATTGACGTGTTGCTGATATAGTTCAGTAGTGGAGGCTGATGTTGTTTCTCACAAATCTAACGTGAAACAGCTTTACTTCTCAAAACAGTAAAACGCAGGCTCTATTTAGACTATGTTTTGGTACGTTATACGTTGTGATTTATAATCTGAAAGTATCTTTAAATTTTCACTTAACATTTCTGCATATAAATGTGATTAAAATGTTCACTGTACAGTAACAACTGTTATTCACCTTACTTCCGGCTATTTTCGTCGAGCTCCCGATAACTCGAACTTTTTTCAATTTCCCTTAAAGGTTCGAGTTATCGGGAGTCGAATGTAGTACAATAAATTTATCCACCTAATACAGATTCTTGACACAAGGCTTTTGCTTACACCAAATCTGTCTGCAAGGTCTTGTACAAATAAGCCAGCTCTCACTCGCATCAGTACCAACAGAATTTCATCTAGAAATTCCTAGAGGGTCCTGTTTTTTGCGATTTTCATCCTCTTTATAACGTTGACTCCCTTTCACAAGGCGCTCTCCCTTCCAGTACTGCATCTTTTCTAATTTTGGCCGAATATATTTTAGAAAACTTATGAGTGCTTCATACGATGGAAACCCTGTGTAAAATAAGATGGCTGAGTTTTTACAATATGAAATAATAATAAAAATATTAAAACTATTAACGAGTTTATTATAAACATATACACAGGTAACAATGGCGGTGAATTATTGAAAAGGACATTCTATAATAGTCGTTTACTATTTACAGAAAACCGACACATACCGACCGATTACTAGACCAGTCTTCGTACAACCCGACCTCTCATAAGGCTACTACTATCCGGACTCTGAGGAGACAAGCGCAACTAGTTTGTGACTCACCTGACAGCCTACAAGACGAGACTGATTACGTTAACAACGTTTTCAGTAAGAACAATGACAACACGGACTTTGTTAGACGGAACACTCACAGTAAGACGTATTCCATCACTCAGACCAACTCTGTTATGACGGCGACTATACCGTACATCAGAGGCACCTCTGAAACTATTGCACGTATATTACAACCTTGCAATATACGTGTTCCACACAAACCGATAACCACTTTACGGCTGTCACGGCAAAGATACAGTAGAGGTAACAATCCTCCCGCCTTATTACTGTCAGCCTTCACTGCATGTCTGCCATTGTCAACTGCCTTGATCTTTGCTACTGGGTGGTTTGGCTGTCTGTTACACTCAAGCAGCTTTGTTTTATTACGCTGTCATTCAAGATGGTGCGTGAGAAATACGTACAGACCTTGCTCATCCATCCTAGCAAGGAGTTCTGGGCCTTGCGACATGCGGAGATTGTGCCATTGAAACTGTTGTAGCCAATGGATTTGCTGGGGTGTTGTCGTATAATTTCTTAGTGACATCAGCACGTCTCTCAGCTGTTGTTCAGATTCATTCTGCCGTATAATCTGAGTAAGCTCAACAGCACTATCAAGCATTGTCCAAACCAAGCGACCGTGGTGAGATGGTACATTACGACAATCTGAGATGTACACGGGGGTGTCACACACAGGAGGAAGCTGGATATCATCTCTCATAAACACTGCCACAGGAATCTCTCCCCATAACTCATCTGCATTGGCTCCTTTGTTGATTGCAAAATGTGCATGTTGTTCTATCCAGCCCATTGTTGTGCGTCCAAACATTGATCGTTCATCACCAACCAGAACTTTCAGATGTTCGCACTTTCTCTGAATTTTCTCTAGTAAGGGACCTGTAGGTGCAGTCAACTCATTGCAAGACCTTCCACCTGTTGGTACTCCAAGAAAAGTGTGAGCTGTACTGCCGTGAACGAGATAGGCAGCATTCCCCGTTGGAGTTATCACCTGTATTGCATCATTGGCTTCAAAAACTTGCCGCACTAACCTCTGGATACACTTGATGACATACGACTTTCCTGTACCAGCGGTCACAGAGACAACAAGCCGCAGTAGATAGTAATATTCAGTGTTTTCAACAAAGTTGTACAGGGTGTGGAAAACTAGACTCACTGTGGCTTTGTGATTTTCATTTAGAGGTAATGGACACACCTGAGGTAAATCAAGGTCTACACTTTCTGTCTCCTGTTCATCATCTGCTTTAATACTTTCTTGAAGCCGTTTTGTTGGTTCTTCTCCTTCAGGAAGAATGATACGGGTACTGCTCCAGTTATAGTCCTCCCCACCATCATAATCAAAGTCCCTCTCTACACCCTCATATATTTGGTTCCGCCCTGCATATACATCCACCCAGTCAGGTTGTTCTTCTGCTTCGACAGCATCATCTTCTTCATCCTCTTCAAATACTGGTTCTTGTGGGTGGTCTGCATAACGCTGTGCCTTAGCAACTTGGGCCTTTACAAATGTTGGACAGTCATCACTTGCAATAAAGTCCTTAAAGCGATCAATCCAAGATTCAGCATCCCCCTTCACTTCTTGAATGTCAAACAAGCTTGGCCAGTGTAGCAGAAGCATAGTCCTACAGTAGTCCTCATTCAGTTGCCACGTTGCGTGTGTAGAACCACCGCTTACAATAGTGACAATACCGTTCCTCGATGCAAAGTGGTACCAACAACAGTGCTCATTTGGTGGTCGTGCAAGGTACTTATCCAGTGGGGTGGTACGAGTTGCAGTTTCACCATCACGTTCAAGTCTCCTTGACCCCGACATTGACAAATAGGTCAATGGACGGCTACATCGCCAAAGTGCTAGGCCACTCCGCTCAAAAGATGCCTCGAGTCCACTGATATGTCGTCTTCCCACGGTCTTTATAAGCATCTTAGCACACATTGACTTACCTGTCACTTGGTCTGCATCAGCTGCATCAACAGCATTCACCATGTCCTTAAAGAGATCAGCAGTTGCACCAGTGGGTTCGCTATCTTTGCAAGCATATCCACCCACATAGTCAATTATGGCTATGATATCATCAGTGCTAGGATTGTCTGGAGGGGAATTGGAAAGAATCAAGCTCACATCCCCATTTGCTCTCCACGATTGTAACTGATACGAGAATGCTGAACCACACGTGGATGGTCACGTGGCATCTCTAGGCGGGGAGCTCCGTTATGATCTTCCACAATTTCCGGATTACTGTGCACTTTTTTCCCTGGGCGGAACTCACTTCCAAACTCCATGCGACATACACTTTCTGTAGGTTGGAATCCTTGCTCCGGATGGCGAGGAGTTCTCAAGCAGTAATCAGAGCAACTGTGGAGTCTGACCGGTTTACTAAAAGCAAATGATCCTCCAGTATTGCTCCTTGTGTTGCAGCTATTTGCATTAGCATCTTCACCAAGGGATCCGTGTCATCTGATATGGGCTCAGCTGTTCCCTCAGCTGGTGACCAGGGGTCTTTTCGTGGCTGCTCTTCTTCATCATTGCCAGCTGGATGTAATGCTGTCATGGCAAAGGTTTCATCTGCGCACTAAGTCTAGCTGCTTACTCTTCCTCTTCGCAACCATCTTCACGAGCTTCATGCAATAGCTGATGTGGTTGCCTGTCTTCCCTCCAGCTGAGTTGGTGCCAATGAATTTGACCACGGGACTTGGCAAACTCATAGCGGTACCAATAAGCAGAGACAGCAAATACTAGCTTCAGTACCTTCTCATGGTATGCCTGGGTACGTAGGTCAAAGTAACTCACAACTACATGAGTATTTTCTTGTACTGCCTTGAAGCGGCCATTGCTGTCTTCAGCAAGGTTGACTTCTTCGCCTGTGGTCTGTAAGTTGTGCTCTTCCAATAGTCTCCTTAGTGGGGGAAAGTAAAACTCAGCACAGCTTGCAGTCATGAAAGGGAACGCATGCTTCTCATTGACCATCACCTCAACCAAGGCATGAAGCTCTCTACCTCCCTGGTGCCAGTACTGAGCTGTTCCACGTAGATCTGCACCAAAATACAACTTGTCGGTAAAAGTGTCGCCTCTCGCTAGTCGCTCTTGCAGGTCTGCAACAGTTATTTGTGGGTCACCAAGTTGCTGATCAACAAAGAACCGACTCTGTTCCAGGGCACGCTTCCTCATGATCATATTGTGGACAACAAACTTCCAGACTTTATGCCTTGCAAACCTTCCGTCTTGGTACCACAGCAGGTGCTCTGCCCAGTTATGCAGTGTTGGACACATCACCGGACGGTTTATGTGGAAATCACCTTTTCCATCTGGAAACAAGCAACGAAATGCCATCGTAAAAAAGTAGGGAGTGGTAAACTCTGATGCTGGTGTTGTGCCTGTGGTCGGCCAAGGGATCACTGGTCATTGCACATTTCGTTGTGCTTCTCCAGCTTCACCTTCCTGAGGTTCAGAAACAACTTCATTTATGGCTGCGTCTACCTGTGCTTGCACATTCACTCCAGGCTCAGGAAGAACAATTCCAGAGACTGTTGAGTCATCAGTACTGTCTGTATCACCAGCTTCCAATTGTTGTGATGCGGGGCCTTGGGCATCTATGCGTTCTGTTTCAGAGAACTCAACAGTCCTCAAATTGGGCAACTCACCATCTTCTGGTAAATTCTCTATGCGAGCGCCATCAATAACATCACCATAAGCAGGATTGTTGTCCTTGAGCCAACGAAGGGCTTCTTCAACACGGTGTCTTCTAACCCTGAAGTCCTTATGGGTATCATTTTTCCTTGTCTTCTCACGCGTATGAGATCCACATATTCTTGTAGGCGTGGAAGAATAGTGGCTGGTTCTTGCACAGCCTGTGGGAAAGCAATGCAATGTCCCTTTGAGGCAATACCTCCGTGCTTCAGCAGGTGTACATGCACAGTAGGTGCTAGTCTGGCTATCAGCATCTGTTCAGCATCTGACATGTTAGACAAAATCTCAGGAACAGCCATTGGATCCACGTTATTCTCACCTGACCAAACTTTTGGCACCTTCTTATCTGTTCTGCAGCGAGTACACATGTTTCTTGTGCCCTTGCACTCCAGTCGGCTTTCGTTGCAGACCTCACAAAAAGTAAATGCATAAGTCATATGCTCCACCTCAAATGAACGAATAGCACTGTATGCATTATCTTCTTGCTGAGTTGACCCTGCTGGTGGAGGTGGTGGTAGATCTCCAACAACTTCATGCAACCTTTTCTCTTGTTCTGATATTCGTCTTTGGTTTCACCGCTGTCTTTTTCTCCTGTCACCCTCTGTTTCCACTTCACCAGGCTTTGCAAACTCGTAGTCCACACCAACTGCCCTTGCTCTTGCAATTAGGCGGTCATCTTCCAAGTGGCTACTACTACTGATATTTACTTCTGCAAGAGGATGCTGTGTTCCTTGCAAGTTGCTTGGTCCCTCAATTGGGGCATTTCCTCTAGCTACTACAGGGGTGTCCCTTTCCATCTCTTCTCCGAGTGAATGAATTATCTGTATTTACAACCTCTCTTTTTAGCATGCCTGAGGGATAAGTGAAGTTGTTTTGCGTATTCAGTTACAGGAGAAGCATTAATAGAATTGGAACTCTTGGGCTAACAGATGTAGGCTACAGCCTGCCTACCTAATGGTGCTTGTGTTACTGATTTGAGAACCTGATTTCAAAAAGGAAATACACAATATTTACACTTTCCAAGCCTTACATAAAAGAACAAGGCTTGAAAATAGTTTTCTAAGTGGTGATAACTAGTGACTGAAATTTCATAAATGCTTTACCAACATAACTTCATTTTCCAAAGTAAACTGCTACAAATTGTACTTGTAGAAGGGACCTTCATGCTGTGCTACAGCTATTATGAACCTATTCTTACCATGGAGCTATCCTAAAGTGGCCGTTTTTTTCTCCCCATGTCCGCCCCCTTAGTTGCAAGAATCCTATACAGGCATTTGTTTTCACAATTCAATATAGGTATTGTTATCACTTGTTTCCCCTTTTCTTGTTCATTTTTATTCAACAAAATACTTTACCCCCATTCACACCAAAGCTTACACAAAGTTGTTTATTAAAACACAGTTAAAATTGTTTGCTTTATAATAGCTGCTTACCGACTAAGTTTCTTGCAAATTACCAGAATGGTTGAAGGTCATTATTTTGAATCCTGTGTGAGAATCTGAGTTCCAATTTTCTGTGTCTGTTTTTCATTTTGATACATGTTTAGTTGGTGTGAATGGGGCATAAGTGTTTGCAATGTATACGTAGTCATTCGCCTTTTAGTACAATTTGTGTTTGTCAAAAAGTATCAAGACTGAATGAGCCCTTTAAAGGGCGAATGCAATTTGAGCTTTTTGAAAAACACGAGTGCAAATAAATCCCACATTGAGTGAGAAAAGTCATATGATTACTTTTTAATAATATACATGAAATAATTACAAGTACTTTCCTGTCTTTGTGTGCTTTAATTTTGCAACAGGCTATACTTTGCTGTTTGGCTTTAGCATCTCAAAATCAAGGAAATGAATTGTTTATCCCTAGTTATGGACCGGTGTATCCTTTCTCTTTCAATGCCTGTTCATAGCTGTCATAAGTTTCAGACCATTTTGGGCTCAAAGTAGCCCACTTGTTTGTTTTTATTACTCATGAGTCTCAGGGTAGAAGGACTCGACCAAGCAGTTTGTTGGGGTCGGCATGCTAGAAACTCTCAATTTTCTCTGAAAATCCTTCCTCTTAGTACAATAGCTTCAAACATCAAATCAATGTATGCTCCTCTTTACAATGTTTTGGTTTGGTTTTTGTTTTTAATTGTTCTTTAGTATTTTGTCGTAACAGAACTAAATTTTGCTTTGTATCCCAGCTATTTTTCCACTCGCAAACTTCATGTTACATGCCTGGCTTCCCATGGGGTTTTAGTTCTTTTGCATAATTTTTCCTCATTTTTGCACTGTTTACTAAAATTTGCACTGCTCTAAGCCAAATCAGTTTCAAGAAATTTTTCCATATATATTATTATCTTTCATAATAAACATCATCTTCTGTAATCAATTATATCAGTACCTGCTGAATGACTTTGCTGACTTGTTCACCTAGCAGACAGCATTCTATGCTACATTCAACTTGGAGGACCTCACTTTCATGTTCTTCCAAGGCTAAGAAGATAAGATTCTAAACATTTTAGTTTATAATAATAATTAACAATTATTCCTCGAGCGCAAATGGGCTCTGAGTCAATAGACTCATCTGAATCTCACTCATAGGCCATGAAGGCCAGAGGAATAATTGTTTTAGTCAAATCCAACTAGTTGGTCAAAAATATCGGGACAAATAACTTTTAGCTAGTTAAAGCTAGACGTAAATCCTTTTTCGCCGCCAAAAATCCTGCGCTTTTCGCTACTAGTGGGCTATAACATATACCCTAGTAGTAGCTCAACCAATCACAACGCTGCAATGATAATAGACCACTGGCTGGTTTTTACTAATCAATGATATGTTCATCGTGAAATTCAATATTTCCCTATCTCACAATAGTGAATACACACACCTTATTCGATGGTACGAAGATTGTGCGAGTTGCGTAGTATTTTTCTGAGCCCCACCGGGGCAATCGGCAAAATGTCTGCCCGTATTATATGCTAAACCATCAAACAAGAGGTTTACTATTCCGCTATAAAAAATTGTCATTTTGCGATACGCTTCTATTTTTTTGGAAAGAGTATTAAAAAACATCCTGATTCCCTCTGTGAGAATGACAATAACAATGAGGTAAATGTTTGTGGATATTATAGCAGGGTGTCCAGCGGCATGGTTGCTCAAAAAGTAGGAAAATAGGAAAAGCAGGATTGAGAAAATAGGAAAATTAGGAAACTTTGCATTGAAAAATAGGAGAAAAATAGGAAAATCAAAAGTACTTTTGTCGACAAAGATAGCTTCCCTGCACCCCATAAGGGTTATAATAAAGGCTATGTTCACAGGATTTAGATCAATTTTTGCGGCTAAGAAGGAGTGAAAATGATCAGTAACGTTTAGTTTATTGGCTTAGTTACACTGTATTAAATCAGAGTGATATGATTGACAACAGATCGAGCGTGGTTCTATAATCAAAGGTGATCATATGGAAATTCCCTTCAAGTTGACGGCAATTCTTTCAAAAGCTTTGAAGAGTGAAATTTCTTAGGATAGAAATTTCTTACGATTGAGTTGTCATTGAAGGATATAGAAAAAAGTCCTATGGAAAGCTTTCCTTCCATTAATCTGCAATCGTTGGCTGGTTGAGAATATGCCTGTTTGAGTCAAAGGACTGCATAATTTTAAGTACGGAACCGGGCTCTCCACGGTGTATGCAAAATGACACTGATCTATTTGGTACCAGATTGTGTGTCTGCTTAGCTACGACTGCAAGACCGAGTTTGCAACCAAAATATTGGATCCTTCAGCAGTTGCTTAGCTATACCTGTTAACAAGGGTCCACCAAGAGAGCTCGTGCCGTAAACTAAACTTTAGTCTGTTCGTTTCATGTAGCATCCAGAATCAGCTAGTGATTGGTTTTTTAAACAAGAAGCTGATTGGATGATTTATCTGGCCTGTGTTGTGAGAGGACAACTTGATCCTGTTTTCAGTTTCAAAGATGAACATAAGAGCGAGCAAGACTTCACAATAAAATATAACATGTACAGATACTGAAATGCAGTTTCAGTGGGCTATGCAAAATATTTAACAATTATTCCTCGAGCCCGAATGGGCTCTGAGTCAATAGCAGCCGAATGGGCTATTGACTCAGGGGCCATGAGGGCGAGAGGAATAATTGTCTTAGTAAAATCCAACTAGTTGGTCAAAAACATCGAGAATAAAAAGATTTTATCTAGTTAAAGCTAGACGTTAATCCTTTTTTGCCGCCAAAAAGCACGCACTTTTCGCTACTAGTGGGCTATAACATATAGCCTAGTAGTAGTTCAACCAATCAGAATGCAGCACTGATTATAGACCACTAGTTGGATTTTATTAATATTCAATAGTCATGACGACTATAACACTTCATACAATACATCCAGGTGCATGAGAAAATTATGCAAAAGTAACAAAAAAATGTTAACAGAACTCTAATAGGCAACACAGGTCATGGAAAGAACAAACGTAACTGTCATTTTTACCAATATTAGAACATCAAAGTCAACATGCCACTTGCTTTATGATAAATTTCACTCAAAAACACATACAACTATAATTCCATTTTCAATTTTGTTTCAAATTTTGGCTTCACCAGCTCAAAAATAGGAAAAATAGGAAGTTTAAGTTTAAAAATAGGAGAAAATAGGAATAGGCTCAAAAAATAGGAACTGGACATCCTGTTATGTGCTAAACTATTGAATGAGAGGTTAATTATTCTACCTACAGCAAAAAAATGTTATTTGGCTTCTATTTTCTGGTAAGAGTATCCAAAACATCCTCATTCTGTCTGTGCGAATGCTCCTTTGCGTCCACTGGTATTCGCCCTGTTGTAAAGTGGTTAAACCAGGACCCTACAGTGTATTACGGCCTCATATTTTGCACGTTCTCTTGACCTTCTATAGTAAAATGACATAACAGTGGAATAATAAAAGGTGTTTTTGAACATTTATTGGGGATATTTTTGTCTTAATTTGGCTATTTTTGCAAGTACATTTTCAATACAGTATAAACTAGCGACTAAGAACCTAGCTAAATTTGCCAGTTAGGTCCCCTCTATACGAGACCTGTTTATCCTACATATATTTGAGCCAGTTCATGTTTTCTTCAATCTATATAAGAAAATTCCATACATTTATATTTTAGAAAAATACCCAATTTTTTTTGCAAATAAATATTTTTGCAAGAATCTCTTCAAGCAAGGGAAATGCGGTTTCTTACACGCGAGTTTTTAATGTATTTTGACCGGTCCGAGTTAAAATTTGTTGGGCCTCTCAACATGACCTGCACTGGTAAAAAATCATTTCGAGCACTGGCTTAACGACCTCCGAATTTACATAATATTATTCTTACACACCCGAAGATAGGAATCTACAAAATGGGAAAGCCTTAAAGGAATAGCTATTTCAATTCGAGAGGGAGAATAACTCTTTCAGATTTTGTTCAAACACCCTAAATAAAATAAATAGAAGTGAACCCGAACAATCTGCATCAAATGAGCTCTTTACACAGGCATTGGAAAAGCCAGGCAAAAGGCAGCCCAAAACATCTTCAAATTGAAGCTGAAGACCGCCGAGCATACAAAGAAGAAACAGTGACATCCCATAGACTTTAAAGAAAACATAAAACGCTTTCACTGGCCGTTAATTTAAGATCATCTAACAATGAATAAATTTAAGTCCGGGATTTTAGCTTACATTAGCGTACAGGAATGACAAACAACAGTAATAAAGAGGAGTTTACATTCAGTCAGTGATTCATTACACGGTCGGATAGGATAAAAAATTGCAATGGTTATACTTTTCGATGAAATTACATAACTTGCACATTTAAGGTGACCTTATTTTCCGCCCCAGAAAGAACGAAAATACATCGTGGAGCTCATTCAAGTTAAATTAAATTTAATCGCTGCGTGACATACAACTAACATACCTCCGTATAAGCGTCCTGACACTGAATAAATTTAAGCCCAGGATTACATAAGCTTACAGGAATGACCGACAACTGTCACAAGAGAAGTTTACATTAATTCAGTCAGCGATTCATTGCATGGTCGGATAGGACAGAAAAAAATAACAATGCTGAAACGTTTTGATGGAATTACATACCTTGCACATGTAAGAATACTTTATTTTCAACATCAGAAAGAACGAAATAAATCGAGGAGCACTTTAAGCTTATACTTTATCTCATTCAAGTAAAATTACATTTCAACGCTGCGTGACAACAATTGACGTGTAGTTGGTCCTGATGTAATCACGAAGAGGTTATTGAATAAACAAAGCTACAACTGACGTTCCACGGTAAGCTTTTTAGAAAAAAGTAATTTTGCAAAAGCCACAATGCCTTGCATCCGATATATATTTACAGTAAGCTAACCTCGGCAAAAAACAAGCTTAAGTTTTAAGAAAGCCACTTACCTTCTCCTTCCTGTTCGTCGTTGTTCAGTCGACGCCTTTTTTGCTTCGCTGCTTCTCACTCAGTTCTTCTCCGCTCGTCGCTAATCCGGCGTTTATTTTCTCTTGCTCTCTCTCGTTCATTCTCCAGTTCCTCTTCAGTGAAATTTTGTCGCCTCTCCCTTTCTCTTTCTTCCTCTTTCCCTCGTTGCTCGTCACTAAAATTTTGCTTCTTTTCCCTGTTTCTTTCTTGCTCTCTCTCGCGTTGCTCATCAGTAAAATTGCGCCTCCTTTCTCTATCTCTTTCCTGCTCCCTCTGGCGTTGCTCGTCAGTTAAATTGTGCCTCCTTTCTCTATTTCCTCTCCCGTTGCTCGTCAGAAAAATTTTGCCTCCTTTCTCTGGCTCTCTGCCCCTGTCGCTCTCGTTGAGCTTGGCTTGCTTGCAGCCTACTTTCTCGTTTTCTTTGCCTCTCTCTATCTCTATATTCCAAACTAGAGGACATAGTTGATAAAATATGTAAAAAATACGGATGTAAAAACAATTTCCGTCAACCAATACGAAAAATTTCTTTTTGTTCTGAGTTGATCTCGCTGGACTAAGTTGTTTTTACTTAACAAAACATGGGTGGCCATTCGTTTTCGCGCTAAAACAAAACTTATTATGCGCACAGACTACCCAAAATTCATTGGTATGCCTGCGGTGCGGACGGATGGCGGGCGGTCAGTCAGTGTACGGTTAAGTGATTACCAAATTTTCTGGTATGGGTAGATTACCTTAGCTATGTGCGCGCGTGGAGCTCCGCTATGAAGTTAACACGTCTCTAGTACCACTAAAAATTGACCTGCCGAAAAATTGAAACTGAAAGGTCAATTGCAGTGTGGGGTAAGCTACTTTCCATACATTCTCTTAAATGAAATCAAAACTATGTTCTCACAACTTGCACAGCAATCTCTCAGGAAATTGTCAGCCGATACCTCTACTGGGCATGAGCGATATGACACAGACAGCTACGCAGAGGGTAAAATTAACTACCAGGCGGACTATGGGGTATTCTGTGGACACGATTTTAAGGCTCGATATGTTGTTTAAAGTGTATATGACCCGAAATTTTTTTTTGACGTTTTAAGTTCTTCAATATGTTTAAAATATGTTTCCAAGATTAAAATTCGACAAAAATCTTGCAAAACCTGTTTTTTTCCGCCTTCAAAACACTCAAATTTGCCTCAAAAAATGTCCGCCCTTTCACGCGACCAAATTGACACGTGATGTTTGTCTGTGACGTCATGTGACGTAGATTGATTTGCAAAAGAAAACAAGATGGCAGCAAACAAGGAGGATTTAAAGAAGAGAGGAGGAAGATATTGTGTGGCCGGAACGCCAAACCAGGAAAGCTGCAAGAATACAAGTTACACGCCCGGCATCACAATGCATCTGTTTCCCACTGAGCCAAAATGTAGGGCTCAGTGGATTAAATTCGTTCAACGGCATCGCGTTGATTTCGGCGAGCCGATCAACCAGTATGCCTCGTTGTGTTGGGCCCATTTCGAGCCCAGCTGTTTTGAGAACAGCCTTGCAAGAAGCATGGGGTTCAAAGTAAAAAATAACTTGGAAACAGGATCAATTCTGACAAGGCATGCCGTCGATTGTCAGATCCATGTGCATATTTTTTACATTCAGGTTTTCATGCACACACGAACAACTTTGTGAGGGTTTCATGCAGCGCTTATCACATGTTAAATTTGAATATTGTTTCGGAACCAAAGATACTTTCAAAGTAAGCCTATTTGCTGAATTATTTCTAAAATTAAAAGCCAATGAGGAATATCTGTCACACTTCAATTTTAACCCTTCGCAATATGTAAATAGTATACAGAAATGTGATGCATCCCCTAAGAGAACTTTTGTGGAGTGCATACATATTTATTTCTTAGCTTGATTGATTATGTAATCTGCAGTGTACTACCGCAGATATATTATTTTATATTTGCTGTAGTTCTTTAGACATGTTATTGTTTTTTAGCTCAAGCGAGATGCCTACAAAGAATACAAAGCAAAGAGGTCAAAAAGGCTAAAGGCAGTGCTACAACTGCAATACAACAGACAGTCACTGCGAAAAGCACACCTAGTTCAACGCCTTCACCCTCAGCTCCAACTCTAATACAGACAGACACTGCACCAAGCACTCCGATCTGGACACCTTCGCCCTCAGCTTCAACAGCACCTTCCTTTCAGCTACAGACAGACACTGCACCAAGTACACCCATAACAACGGCTTCACCTTCACCTTTAACAGCAATACAGACAGCGCCAAGCAGTCCAATCTCAACACCTTCACCCTCAGCTTCAACAGACACTGCACTAAGCACTCCACTCTCGACACCCTTCATCTTCAGCACCTTCCTTTCAGCCATTGATAGATGCTACACCAAGCACACCAGTTTCTACATCATCGCCCTCATCTTCAACAGCAACATCCTTACCTCATAGGGCAAGTTCATGTGCTGGATGTTCAAAGTACAGATGGGAAATTTCCACATTAAAAAGATTAAAGCGCAGGCTTTCAGCCAAAGTCAAAAGCCAAAAGGCAGAAATCAAGAAACTCAAATTAACTGTGAGTATAAATTTTTGAATATTTTAAGAATAAATTGTATCAGTTGTCTATGATTATTCTAACTGTTGAAACTTTTGTCTGAGTCTACAGTAGCAACTCTGTGCATAGTTTAGGCAAAAGTGTTCATAGCTTTTGTAAACAAGCAATTTTAATTGTCTTTTGGTCAAAGAAATTTACTTTGGGTTTTTTTTCACCTTATCTTTTGCATATTATAGAATGAGTGAAAATAAGTTTCTTGATGTACGTGTATTTCTGTACCATAGACTTGTTTGTCTAACAGTGAGCTCCAGTACATGTATGCCCTGCTGTTCAACAGGAAGGTACCTCCCTTTATGGTTTTGAATGACTTCATGGCCAATTTCCTAAACATTTTATTTTGCTTATTGTCATAGAAAGCAACACATGAAAAAGAAATCACAGAGGAGAATAGTGAAATAAGTGATTTTGAAGCCAAGGCATCAAATGACTACTTTGTTTGGTCCAGTGCGCCATCTGACTCTGGGACAGATGATGACTATGACTGGAATACAGGTGCAGCTCAAGATGATGCTGAGTCTACTGAGAGTGACCATTGTGATCATAGGCGTACGGGAAATTTTTTGCCAGGGGGGGCGGTAAATCATTTGCCCAAAAAAATCTCGCAAGTTGCCCAAATTTTTACGAAAGAGTCGAAAAGAAATGAGGGCCATATTGCAACAACATAGGCCGTCCTGGCATATGAAGGTGGCTCGATACAGTTTTCCAGGGGCAATACCAAGTCTAAGCATAAACTACGTCGCCATAAACAAACATTTGGAAAAATTGCGACCACAGTTGTATTAAGATGAAAATTTGTCATCATCAGGGTTGCAATGACATCGGAGTTGTCATAGCAACGAAATAACTCCATTACCTATGATTCTCGGCACGGGAACCTTACAAAATTGTTCACAGGAGCTTTTTTCTCCAATACGGTCGCCTCGATGTTCGTCAAGTTTGAGCAAAACCTTAACAGCGTCATCGAGATATTTTGGAATGAAGTTTTTATTATTAGAAATACGGTAAGAAAAGGAAAATCTTGATTTTTGGCCGTTATCTGTAGAAAACGAAGCGCTTTTGACCTGCAATTTCACCTCATAGTAGTCTTAATCGTTTTAAAAACATGTGTGAAAGATCGTGGAGATAGCTCTGCTTGATTGCTAGAATCGAAAGAAGGGTTGATTAGTATGTATCGAGACACTCTTGTTAGCGGTTCACAGTGTAAACATTTTGGTCTACTTTAACAAATTATCGAATAATTTAAACCGCTCGATAGATTTTTTAAAAGAATTAAGATTCTTCTCGTAATTCAGAATGAGAATTAGTCAGCCACTTCTTCATTTTCAGACCCATTGTAGCCTGCGTAGCAAGAGTTTCCAGTCGAACTCGCGCGAAAACGCTTGCTATGCAGGCTATACCCATTGCTAAGTGCTATCTGCCATACACTGTTCTTCGAATGGAGATGATTCTAGAAAGTTATACGAAAGTTAATTTTAATCAATTCACGACTGGAAATAGCCCATTCCAGCTAGTGCAGTACAGCATAATGCCCAACAAAAAAAAAGCTGCAAATATGTAAATTCCTCATCACATGCTAGGCAACCACTGTAATGTAACTGGTTATTAAGCCGACTTCAGGTTAATATTCAGGTCTTTAAAATAATTAAATAAACATGGAGACGTCTTTGAGAACTGGCTTTGCCCAAATTTTCTCTCGCTGCCCAAAAAATCTGAGTTGCCCAAAATTTGGGGGGGGCTGCAGCCCCCCTCGCCCCCCCGGCCCGTACGCCTATGATTGTGATGATCCAGAAGAGGACCTTATTGAAGAAACCACAGAACGAGATATAAGGTTTGCTAACATATGACAATTTTGAACAATTTTCAACGGTTTGTGTGGTTCACTTACTGACTGACAAAAACCAGAAAAATAAATATAAATAGCTAAGCAAGAAGGTTGTTGAAGGCAGCATTAGAAACAGTATCGTAAGTGAAGAAACATTACAAGTTCAGTTTCATTAAGTAAGTTATAATGAAGCGACTTAAGTTCTATTTATACGTTTTCAGAGCAGAAAACTGTACACAATCATCATTTAGTTGTTCTACACTATGCAATAAGTTTTCAACTTGATTTTGCAGAGTTGATCCAAGTACCCCACCACACGAGGAGCCCAAGTTCATTGTCTTTTGCAGTATGCTGCTCCAGTTGTTTACTCTTTTTTGTTTCTAGTGTAAGGAAAGTGGGCCTTCAGCTACCATGAAACAGACTAGTATCCTGGTTACTGTCGAGCAAAACTGTTCCAAATGTAAAGATTCATTTATTTGGAGGTCCCAGCCCTCGCCTATCCTTGGAAGATATCCCATTGGAAATACTTTGCTGAGCTCCTCTGTATTGATGGCAGGAGCATCCGTACATCAGTTATTGTTGGTATTTCGTCACCTTGGGTAAAAGGTCCACTCTGCCCGAACTTTCTTCAGGCACCACAAATTGTTCCTCTTCCCTGTAATCCTTCATAACTGGGAAACATATCGCGGCAACCTTGTTAGCAAGATCAAGCAACTAAAAGATGTGGAATAGACAGGAGATGGTATATTTGATTCTGTTGGGCATTCTGCCAAGTATGGAGCATATACCATGTTCTGTACAACAATCATGAAGATTGTACATTTTGATTTAGTCCAGGTAGGTGACATGCAAGCCCTTTTAAAATAGAACAACATTGTCGACAACTCTTACAGTATGTGACTGGCGTCCATTCTATATATTATAAATACTAGTTATTACAATGTCTTCAGTTACAGCTACAGTTACAGTTATAGCTAATACATGTACATGGTTTTTTCCATGATTGAGGACTGCCACTAAGGATTGCATCCTGCCACACTTTATTGTTGTGGGTCACCTTTTCACCATTCCATGCTGTGCCCTGACTGATTTTACTTAATTATAACTTTATGCAAGCGTATGGTCTGTTATTAGTAATGATTATCAAATGTTTTTTAGGCTAATGAAACAGGAGGGAGTCAACAAACAGAATTGGAGGGTGCAAAACGTTGCGTTCAGCATTTACTAAATCTTGGATTGTCTATTGCTGTTTGCGTGTCTAATCGCCACCGAGGTATTGCAAAGTGGATTCGAGAGGATCATCCAGAGAGAAAACATTATTTTGACATCTGGCATGTGGCAAGATCGATAACTAAGAAGTTATTAACAATGGGCTAAGAGAAAGGCTGTGAACTGATTAAACACTGGATAAAGAGAATTCGAAGGCATATATAGTGGTGTGCTACATCAATTAGAGCTGGTTTTGAGGCCCTTATAGGTGAAAAGTGGAATTCTTTTATGCGACGTGTTTGCAACAAACATAAACACCACCCAGACCCACTCTACAAAGAATGCCATCATGGAGAACTGGAACCAGGAAAATGGATCAAAATTGGTTTGAGTATTTAATTTAACTGAATAACTTGCAGTCATGGTTTTGAGGCCATTTACACCACCAGGAGAGTTTTTGAGTCAATCACATCACATTATTCTTTTACTGAGTATTAACTGTTCTAAAGACGTGAAACCTGCTTGGCAGTTAATGAGAGAGTTGGATGTACCAAAACCCAAATGTTGTGAACTACATGTGGTGCATGCGATGCTCCCTATACACAGTTATAGTTCAGTTGTAAAATCCTTTAGGGCTTCTGTATTGTTATAATAATAATTACAACTATTATCATTATTATTCACAAAAGGTGGAGATTTTTTGTAAAATATATGGCGTTTCTGTCCTTATTTTCACTATTGGTGGTACCCTAAGGATAAACACTGTTCAGAAGTAATTCTTTTTCAACTCTTGTGCCTATGTCCTAAGTACCATGGTCTTGGTAATAAACCATAAGATTTAGTTAATTGTGTGCTCTTTTGTCTCTTCTTATTGGCAGGAACTGTAGCTTATGATAAGCTCAATTCTGTCCTCACAAAGAAGTCCCTGGTGAATGACATCAAAAAATTATCACCAGATGCACAGACAAGCTGCCTTGAGGGTTTCAATGCGACTTTAAACTTTTGGCATCCCAAAATGATTTGTTTTTCTTGGCTGGGATCACTTTGCAGGTAAAGAATTAAGTTTTACTATCTACAATACTGGTCATAATGGCTACGATAAGGTTACTAACCGAGGTACATGGAGCAAGAGCTAAATAGCTCTGTTAACCCGTACAGTTGTATTCATAAGTAATAAATATTTTTAAAGAACCAACTTAACGCAAATCCCAAATTCTACGTTTTCATCCCAGAGTTGATGATTCATGTGCGTTGAGTTTTTTGTTTTTGTTTCCTGGAAAATACAAATAGTTTCACCTATCTGTGAAAACCAACGTTTGCAATTAATTCGGTTTAGTCCAGAGTGGTAGAAAAACCTCAATATGGTTGTGCTAACTGGTATTATTTTCTTGTAATCGAGTATGTATTAAAAGAAGAATGAATTATGTCACCCTTGTTTTCTAGACACATATTGGCCTGTTTACACTTTAACGAGAACTTAAGAAGAGAAACACAAGTATCCAAGGATGGGAAACCTTACATGCGTGTCACCTATCCAAAATTCAAGTTGGGAGAGGAGGTCGTCCGTGAAGTTGCATGCGCTCCAAGTTATTGCACTTGACTAAAAATTTATTAAATTATAACCAGCTACTTGTTCTTCATGCCAAGACAAGTGATTTACACTGCGGAGTCCTTTGTTATAGCATTTGTTAGACAAAGTCGGAACTGGCTTTCTCTAAATAGACGTTACATAATATAGTAGTTTATTTTTTCTGTTTCTGTAAATAAATTTATATTTATTGATGAGTTGAAGCTGAATTGAAAAGGAATAAAGGCAAAAAGTATTTTGCTCAGCACTGCTGAGCCAAAAATAGCTAAATATATATTTTTGTCAAGGCACTTTTTCTATCCTGGTTACAAGCCCTTCACCCCTCCCCTATCCCTGAATATAAGCCCTCCTAAAATCGCCTATGGAGATGTATAAGCCTAGGGCTTATAAGCAGCAGTTTATGGTATGGTGTGAGTTCCAAACAAAAAAGCCCAGGGAATTTCAATTCTATTTGGTAAGTGCCCTGATACTAACCCTGATACTAATGATATTTTTATCATCAGTCTGTCAATTAGTCAAGTGTTGTTCTGTTTGTACAGATTTGTAGACACCATGAAGAAACTCCTCTTCAGCCTAACAGATGCTGAAAGAAAGGAAGTTCTAGAAAAATATTCATCAAAGCAACCAGAACCTCTAAATAGGCAGGTTCTGGAGAGAAAGAGCAAAGAGGAAGCTGTTAAGGATTACAGAGCCAGACAACAAATGAGGAAAACATCACTTGTTCCTTCAGGTTAGTTACTCTTTTATTCTATTTTAAGACATAAAATAATATTCAATTATACCGGTGACACTCTGAGTTAGATTTCTGTTTTCTATTGCTGGCTTCACAAACAACCATCCACTGACAAGCCACGTAAGCCTATTAAAGCACCTAATCTTCAGACAACATTAGTCAGTAGTTGTGTAATTTGATGTAAGGTTCACTTTCTACCCTGTGAAATGAATTAATGAAATTAATTCAGGTAATACAACTCCTGTACAATATTCTTGTGTTTGACAGCGGCAGAACAGTCCTCCCTTCAATCAAGCAGTCAACACAGCCAAACACGCAGTAAAAGCAGTACAAGAAAACCTCCTACTTGTTCAGTTTGCAAGAAGCCAATGCGTGGACATAAAGGCCGATGCAAGACATAATGAAGCTCTATGTACAAGTGCAAACAAATAAACATGGCTTTCAACAACCATTTTAAATAAGGCAGGTCAGCATGGCTGACAGGGCTGGCTCACGTCAAATATTTAAGCCCAGAATCCCATTCGGATTATAATATTTCAGAACAGGCCTAGGTGACACTATACATGGGCATGTGCACCAGGCCCCAGTTGTTCAAATGATGAATAGTGCTATGGTCAAATCTCTATCCACACAATAATGCAATTGGTTTCACTAGTACTAATCTGCTGTACAGTGATTTATCTGCTACTGAGCAACTGGGGCCAGGGGCCCGTTTCTCGAAGGACCTGAAAAGTTTTCGGAGCCAAAAAGCCATACCCAAAATTTCCACCCCTATGTTTACAGAGCTGTCCTTTTCGCATAATTTTCAGATGAAAAAAGTTTCCCTTCATGCCAATTTTCACGAGTATGTACATTACCTTGTGTTTCAGATATGGTTAATTAAAGATGGCTTTTCAGCCCCCCTTCCCCATTTTTTTGGGGCCCAGTTTTCAATAGAGCAAAGACCTTATCATTTCCTTTGTTTTAGAATGACTTCACAGTAAAGACTAGTAATGTCTGCCCTAGCTGATGCTTAGCACGGTGTTTTTTCTTTTCGTACAAGTACCACCACTTGCTGTATTAACAAAAAAACAAACAAAAATTTTCTAATGCTAGAAACTGGTGTAAGAAACGAACCACACATTTTACTGTTTGTTACATGTTTAAATGTTGCAAAATTAAACAAAAACAATTACAATTAACAATTTTTGGAAAATGGATAACATGGTCTACATGTATCATCAAGTTTCTCTGTCCTTGGAAGTGGAATATGCAGTGGACTGTCGCGGAGGATATTTTGTTCTTATGCTGTGGTAAACACAGGCTGGCAATGGCCTGCTGTTGTCCCAACCTAAGAAGCCACACAGCCATCGTATAGTCCATCTGTAGGCAACAGAACGAATAAGCCTAAAACAGATCAATAGAATCACATTGTTAGAGATCCCTCTTATAATATTGCTCGTTTGATACAAGATGTGATGGACCTAAGAAAGAAATTTGTGAGATGTTCCATAGACAAAATGGCGGGTATTTTTTTTTTTTTTTTTTTTTTTTAATGTTTATTGATAATCACATTAAATAATTACATTTACAAAACACACACACACACACACAAAAAAAAAATTGTCAAATTATTACAGGAGGTGTTACAGGGCTAAAAGAAATTGTAAAAAAAGTACAACAGGGCAATGAAATAATACGGAGGTAATACAGTTAACTTAAATAAGGCGTCAGTATCCACTTTCTTTTAAAGAATTCTTTGTTGCTGATTTTTTCTTCTGTTTCATATTTAGCGATGATCTTGGCTTTAAATCCACAAATGTTTGGAAGGATTTGTTTGTTCCTGCAGTCCCACAAATAGAGTTTTCCAATAATTATAAAATAGTTCAGCAATTGAAGTAAAGGGCAAGCATTTTCCGTCAAAATTCCAAAGAGCACATTTTCCAAGCAGAGACGAATTCGTTGATTCGAAATAAGGCACCAATATAGTTCAAATTCAATCCAAAACTGTTTAGAGCGTGAGCAGTGATAGAACAAATGCGTTAATGATTCAGGTTGATTGTCACAGAAAGTACATAAATCATTTGTGGCGGGTATTGACTCACTCGTTTTCGGACACTCCTCCACGACGGCGATACGTCCTCCCATCCTTGGTCCTCAGTAAAGGCGCCGCTTGAACAAGAACTGCTCGGTTAGTTATGGCGTCATAATCCTCGTGTTGTGTTATACAGCTTATTTTCTCAATGGAGCCATCAAAAACCATTTTCCCTGACGTGCTGGTTACGTCTCGGCAACAGCGAAATTCTATCGATCCAACTAATAATTCTGTTCTGCAATGTTGACGGCGACACCTGTCAAACAAAATCAAGTTGAACGGCCACGGTAAGCTTGTTTTTCTTTTTCTTTGACCCAGACTTGTACGATTGGTTGGCGATCTTTCGGGATAAAATGGGAGTTGGAGCTGAATGAATTCACTTACCAAGATTCCAAACAAACTGTTTGTTCATATCTTTCTGCTAAAGTCGAGGGAGTAAGACCGTCAACGTCTCTTTCTTCCTCGGAGTCGTCGACATCAAGTGCTTCGTCTTCAGCCGCTAGCGGTTCATCTTGGTAGGGCAAAATTTCGGAGTCCACAACTCCCCAGTCATCTTCAGAATCTTTGCTGACTTCGTTACTTTCGTTCATATCCGATACATCGCTTGCCTCCGAATCACTGGACATTTTTAGCCCCCGAAACACCAAGATATTGTATCAACAAAATGCAAAGCAAAGACCAGAAACATAAGCGTGGGTTTACGTCATAAGCCTTTGTATGATCCTTTACTCGTTCCCAGTCTCTAGGACATTTCTGAAGGGAAAAAAGGAGTTTTTCACCGACCAAAATCGACGAATTTTTCTGGGAGACATTTTTAAAGTTCAGAATTATCACACTTATCTAAGGACCAAAAAAGGGCAAAAAAATTTCGTGTCATATACGCTTTAAGTGTCACGGAAAATCTAAGGATGTTTATTATCAGTTCTATGATAAATATTTCTCATTTTCAGTCCTGGCCACAACCAGATTTGAATGTATGATGACGTCACCCACATTCAAAAGCTATTACCAAGGAAGCGAATATGCACGCCAGTCAAAAGACTCCCATATATAGAAAAACACCAAGCTAGAGTCTACTGAGTCACAAAGCATTTCTCCAAGTTGATGCAGCTTCAGTTGAAGCTGCACTTAATTCTTATAATTTTGTATCTGTAAATCACTATCCGTGATAATTTAACATCCTGCAAAGAAAACTCATGAGCTGGGCCCAGCGTAACACAACATTGCAAAAAAACATTTCATTCACGGACTAACGAAAATCGCTTAGTTATTCAGATCCAGAAGGCACTTGGAGAAAATTAGAACCTTTATTCAGCCGTAATAAAAAGCTTTATGCTTCAAAACCTGAGGTCACAGAAAATGCTCTTGCATCTGGGGGAAAATCTTTCAGACCAGAAACAAAGACCACAGTAAATCGATATGTGTGCCATGACCTCTTAGTGTGGAACAAGCGGCAAAAATCACATTTGCTCAGTGAAAATGTACAACCTTCCAGGGGATAATCTACCCTGCAGAGGAAAAAAACAATTGGAACGAGCAGCATTTTGGAATGAGGTAAATGTCGTGTAGGCTTACCACCCCTGTTTATTGCTATTAGAACACGAAAAAGTGCACTTCTGAAGTGGTGAATGGTATTTTAATATTTTCATCTGCAATGGGGTTGTGCAACACGAAAAGACAGACATAGATTAATGACTGTTGACGATCTTTCGTTTGTGCAATTTACAGAAATTTTATTTCTTTTTTTTACCTTTGCATATTAATTCAAGATGTCTGACGACTGAAATAGTGAAAACTATGCATCAGTCAATTCCAGCTGCGCCCAGCCCTCCCCCCGGGCTAACCCCTGGAAATTAACCTTTTTTTTCTCATGAATGGCAAATTCCCGGGGGTGGGAGCACTTAAGCTGTCAAATGCCTGGCGGTGGGGACGGAAATAGAGGGCGAATGCCCCGCCCCCGGGATCGTTTTAACCCCAGTTTTGAATTTCGTACGTCTGCAATAGATCGCTCCTAACTTTAAATTTTGGGGTCAAAAACGAAGGCCAATGGACTTCTCCTCCTGGATAACTCCTTGTAAACGGCCGTGACTTTTTTAATATTCATCGTTCAAAAACCAACGGTAGTAAAAACCGATATACTGTCCTTAGGTCTTCCAAATTGGTATCTGTTATAGTAATGATAAGAAACACTTGAAAAGTGAACATTTTGCTTCTAAACGAGGAAGAACTAAGTTTCAGTACCAAAGAAAACGACGGACTATTCCTCCTGTATAATTCTATGCAACCGACGGTCTCTTTCTTTATATCATATTCGTTTCAAAAACAACAGTAGTGAGGAGTAATATACCTCCCTTAAAAAGGCCTGTCAAATCTTTGACCTTTGTATAAAAACTTAAAAAACATTTTTTTTACTTCTAAACAGGGAACAACTTATTTCTAATTTACCCATCACCGCACGCAAAGAAAGCAACGGACTAGCCCTCCTGGATTATTTACATGTAAACGGTCACAACTAAGTTGTAATTAAATTACAGTCACCAAACATAAAACGGGAGTCCTACGTTTTTTAATAGTCAGAGAAATACAGAATGTTATAAAAAGGTTTCAAGGACACTTTTCGTTTCATATCGTCCAAAATCTATTGATCTTTGATGGACCACAAACATCAGCCTCCGTGAAATACTTAGTGGTTCCCCACCCTCTCTCTTGGTTAGTTAATAGCGAGCATAAGCAAAGACCTTTTTTGAGTGACTCACCTCAACCGGAAGTGGAATTTTTGCATTGTTGGTCAGTTGTTTTGCCCAAAAGTTTAGTCAGATCGTCTCTATCAGAGTTCAGCTACTCAGGCAAACAATTTTGGTAGCCTAAAGGCATATAAAAGGGAAAAGGCAACACTTCAGGTTAACTTGCATGGCATTAAAACGGCTTTACTTAAACTCATAATATCCCTTCCTTTTTTTTCTCTCCTTTGGTGAGAAACTCTGGCTTTTTCGGCGCCTTTCATCCTGTTTTCTGCTACTTGATGGAGATGTTCAAGTCACAGCTTAACTTCTTCTGGAGGTAGAAGACATTTCCTAGCAGCTTTTGGATATCGTAATCCGAAAAATTTTCATTCTTCTTGTTGTAGTCTTAAAAGAATCGGACCTAGGAGGCTGGGATCGTATTGCTTTGGCTTGAGAATAAAGATTAATGTAAATTGTTAGATCTGTAAAGTAATGTCCAGAACACTCGTCTCCACAGTTTTCGCAACCAGGTCCCTTTCTTGTTTCATTGGCGACAGGGTAGTGAAACAGCGAGAAAGAGAGTCCGCCAGGAAACCATTTTGCTGGAATAGGCAAGGCCTTACTTCTTATGAATTCAGAATAACGCCAATTAGTACAAAAGATCTTAAACATTATTTGCAACAACAACAACAACAACCAAAAAAGTGTAACATTTCTTCCTTACAATGCTTTCGGCATGAATGAACTCTTTCCATAATGAATAACGCGATTTTTATTAAGTATACCTGGCTTCTTGCATTCAGGACACACAAAGGGTAGGTTTTCTTTTTCCATGTTTTCTGTCATTTCCTCATTAATTCCCACGCAACTGCCATTGAACCAACTGCCACACTGATCACAAGCAATCGTAAACCTAGATTTAAGGCGGAAGATTTCAATTTACTTATCCTAAACTGCTGGTCATCAAAGTCTTAGTACTATTCAGTATATCAACTAACCTTCCGTTCTCTTCAGGTCCATTGCACAAACAGAATACTCTGGCAGAGGCTTGGTTCGCACTAGACCCTTGTGTTTCCCCTCTACTAGATTGAGACGCTGTTAAAAAAAAAGTTAGCCCACTAGTGTTGAGTCTGGTAGAAATCAACTGATAAATATCATGTGTAAAGCATAATATAGCTTACAGAAAACCTGGCAATACTATCGAAAATGTTCTTTTCATTGTAGTGAAATACCCCTTACCTTTCAAGCACAATGGATGTGGGCACCCATTCCTGCCACAACACTTCAGCATAAAGGCATAGTTTCGCAGCAGGCTGTCGTCCATATGATTTTCTCTAACTTGCGAGATTTCGGTAAACTAATTATACAAGGTGGGGTTCTTCTGTCTTAGAAATTGTTTTTCTTTCTTACTTCCTTTAAGAAATACAAGCAGCTGCTGTCTCCTTTTGAGGAAGACGTGGTCCTCCACTCCTCGTGACAGGTTGATTTTTGTTTTCATGGAAGGGGTAGAGTCCACTCTACCCCTATACACTGATCAACAGCGGCAGACATAGTAGCCTTTAATTTTCCCTCCGTTTTCACTGAATGGAGAACCACGTAGCGTTGACAGAATAAAGGTATTGTTGTGGCCCTTGCTAAGACATCCGTTTTGCAACTCGACTCGATTAAGGTAACTGTCACCACTACATCTAGTAGTAACCAATGTGATCTTTGTTGGTTTGACAACGTGCCGCTCCGTCCACAAAAATTTCATTTCATGATGAAAAGGCCCTACGTCAGTCCCACCATCCACTCCCACGCATTCTATTTCTTTAAAAAACAGCTCGTCATTGAGAAAGACTGATGTTGTGCATTCGAGCTTCTCTACTTTCTCTATGACACCAGCATGCTGAGGACTTTTTTCATGGAAACCTGATTCTTTGACTATTCCAACATAAACGTCAGTTGAGGTAGACGTTTTTGAGAAGTTGTAACTTGTCACTTGAAGCTGCGCTGAACACTTGTTCATGAAGTCATTCCGCGTGGTTGCAGTCGGTCTTACAGACGATATTGGAAGGCTCTTGTGTGTGTACGTGGAGTGTAATTGGAATTCTGCCTGATCATCTCGATTGAGCCGCATTATATGTTTCCCATCTTTCTGCAGTTGATCTAGGAGTTTGTACATGGACTGGCTCCATGTATAATCAGGATTGTACATGATTGAAAAACTTTTATAAACACAAAGCTGTACAACTGTCCCGTACCTGAACTGTCTACCATAATTCTCTTTTAGTTTTCCTTGAATCTTGCCGAGTTTTACTGTTTCCTCACGTACTTTCTGCTTCCAACATAAACAAATGTCCTGAGAAGACAACTTTTGACGAGCGAAGTTTATTCAGCATCCTAACGGTTTTCACTACAAAGTTGCATTGCACAATGAATAATATTTTTAGCGTGATCTACAGCTAATTGAATATGAACAAAGAATGGTCCGTATTGGGAATAACGATCGAAACAATCGTTGGCTAATTGAATATGCAATAGCGTATTGCAACATCCCCCCTCTTTTAGAGATGATGTCATTGGTAACAAGAAAACTTAGCATAGGGTTATTGCACCGGTGTACTCTAAAGTTGGAACCCGTTACACACGCTCATGTGCTAAAGTTGAGATGCTGATCCGAAAACTTGTCACACGTTCACGAACAAAAGAAAAGAAAACTTATATTCTTGTCATGAATAGCTATTACAGCTACAATTACTTATACGACATACTACAAGTACATTTCTCCTAAATTGTTATTGTCTCTAGATTTGTTCAATTAGTCTCGTACATGGTCTAATAGTTCGTCGTGGAGGAGACAACGCAATTCCGACCGGGTTCTTTTCCAGCACACGTTGTTTGGGCAATGGCTTTTGTGATGGCTGGTCTGCGACATCAGCTGCTGTTGAACTGGGATGTTTGACAAGTCCAGGTCTTGGGGACTTTGGTTCTGTTCCGGGAATTGATGGGGCCTGGTTTAATTCTTCTGGTTGGATCTCAATCGCTGGACGGTTATGGCAACGATTCCTGAAGTGCCGAGGACCAGATTCAGTCTGTACCTCATATCGCCTGGGCGAACTTTCATTTTGTTGCTGTACCACAGTGGCCTCTGCCAGATTAAGTTCTTGGGATCTAACTGGAACCGGACACTCTGAAATTGTTGTAGATCTTGAAGTTTCTTGGCTGTCTGATCATAGTCATCACGTTCGGCTTTTTTCTGTGCTATTTGTGCCTCCCTACTAGTCTCTAGATTGGGATGCAGATATTGATGGATAGGAAGGAGTGCTCTATATTTCTGTTGGGAAAGCATCTCTCCTGGGTTGAGCTGACCTGGTCTGATTGGTGTCGCACGATAAATCAGCATTGCAAGATGTGGATCAGAACCGAATCTTCGGCCTTCGCCATTATGCCCTTTACGACTTTGACCATGGCCTCAATGAAACCATTCGACTGAGGATACCTTGGGCTAGAGTGCTGCACTTGGAATTTGTACTGCAGGGCAAATTGCTTGAATTCTTGGGACACGAACTGGGTTCCTTGATCTGTGTACACCGTTGCTGGTACCCCATATTCTGAAAATGTTGTCTTGAGAAGACGTATCACATGTCCCACCGTCTGATTGGTCAGTTCCTTTACAACAGGGAACTTGCTGAAGTAGTCGGCAACCAGCAGATAGTGGTAATAACGATGCTCGAATATGTCAACTCCAAGTTTGGACCATGGCAAGCTGGGCACATGATGCGGTACTAGTGGTTCATTCTGTTGAGCAGGCTTGTATTTCATGCATGTCACATAATTTAACTGCATTTCTCACGTCATCCGAGATCCCGGGCCAAAAGACTGTCTCACGTGCTCTCAACAGAGTTTTCTGTTCTAAGTGGCCCGCATAAAGATCCTTTAGATACTCTGCTCTCAGCGAAGTTGGAATCATAAGTCGATGTGCTTTGAATATCAGGCCATCTTCAACTGCAAGTTCTTCAAGGTAATTCCAATAATGTTACAATCGTTCTGGGAGTTGCTGCCTCTGAAGCGGCCGACCGTGAAAGATGTAATGCCCTAACTGTCTCAAGGCTGGATCTGCAATGGTGGCAACTCTGGTTCTGTCAAGTCGGTTGTCTGTGCCTGGATCAGTTGAAGTGATGTGATGCACTGGAATCACATCCATCTACTTTGAGTCCATAGGCTTTGGACTGAGAGGGTCGACTCGACTTAGGGCGTCTGCAATTGAGTTGTCCTTCCCACAGATGTACTCGACTTGAATTTCGTATCTTGCAAGCCTCAGACGAAGTCGTTGGAGTCTTGGGCTGGCAGTGGCAATACTCTTCTTCCAAATCATTTCTAGAGGTTTATGATTTGTTTGAACTCTGACTGGTTCACCAAACACATAGTTGTGAAGCCTCTCCATGGTGAACACCACTCCTAGCAATTCCCTCTCGATGTTGGAATAGCGTTCCTCGGCGGTAGTGAGAGTTCTGGATACGTAGATCCCTGGTTTTCCTTCTTACAGCAATACTGCACCTAATCCTTTCATGGAAGCGTCAGTCTGAATAACGTGTTCTGCTTTCCGGTCAAAGTACACGAGTACTGGGGTCCTGGAGAGCTCTTCTTTGATAGCATGGAGGGCATCTTGATGGGAAGAGTCCCAGGTCCATTCCATTTCTTCCCGAAGCAGCGGTTTGAGTAGTTTGGATAGTCCTATCAACCTGGCTGAGTAGTGCTTCAAATAATTGACCATTTCCTGGAAACTCTGTAGAGCTTTCTTGTCTTTTGTTTCTTTCATCTGTTTGATGGCCTCGACCTCTTTGTGGTCGACCTTCATATCCTCTGGCTTGATGGTCTGTCCGAAGAAATTGCACTTAGTTGTTTTAAACTGCAGTTTCTTTGAATCGAACTTAATTCCGTTCATTCGTGCTGTTTCGAGTAACTGGAGTAGATTTACGTCATGATCCTTGGAATCTACCCCTCTCGTGAGGATGTCGTCGATGCATCCCTTGATTCCTTTCTTTTCTTTAAGGACTGCATTCAACCTCTCCTGACATACGTCTGCACTGACTTTAAGACCAAAGGAAGTCGGAGGCACTTATATTTCTCCCATGGAGTGTTGAAGGTAGTTGGAAGTGAACTTTCATTGTCCAATTCTACCATCCAATATCCTGAAGCGGCATCACCAAGCATAAAATATTTTCCTCTATGGAGTTCAGCACTGACTTCATCGATAGTCTTCGAGCAGTACTGGTTCCTTTTGATGCTCTTGTTAAGGTCCTTTGGATCTAGGCATAGTCGAATTGACCTATCAGGCTTAGAGACAGGAACAACGCCGTTGATCCAGTCTGTGTGTCCCTGAACTGGACAAGCTGAACTTTCAAGCTCTTCTTTGTATGCTGCTTTCTTCTTCTCAGGTACTGCTCGAGGTGGATGTTCTACAGATTGTGCGTCTGGCTTGAGCTGGATATGGTACTTGCTGCCTGGTAGTTTTCCTATAACTTTGAATATATCTCTGAATTCGGACGACACGTACTCCTTTGTTATAAGCAAACTGTCTCTTTCCGTTAAGGATGATAGCATCATCCAACACCTCACATGTAGGCTTGTTAACCTTATTGGAATCTGGTCGCAGGGCATTAACACTTGTATGGATTTGCGGCGTACTGGTTAAGGAGGGCGGGTTTACCTCTGGAAAGGCAATGTAGCCGACATGCTGGGCTGTTTCTCTGCCTAGGATGAGATACCCTCGAGTATCTGTCACTTGACAAGTCGCCATCTGTGGCTGTTGTATATCATTAATTAAATTAAAAAATTAAAACTTTAATAAATACTCCCCAAAAAAGGTTTTTCAGTACCTATTTACAAATATAAATGCAAGTTATATCTAACAAGCTAATAATTGTTAAATGCTGTCATTCGATCATTCATTCATTACAAGTTTCAGGGCTTTCTTAAAGGCCTTTACAGTTGTAGTGTTTCTAAGCTCTTCGTCTAACGTGTTCCACAGGGATACTGCTCTATAGGCGAAGGTACGTTGACCAGTGGCTGACCTGAATAATGGGATTTCGAACTTCTCATTATTACGGGTTGTGCGATTATGTACAGAAGATTGTTTCTTAAACTTAGCACATAGGTATTCAGGAGCTAAATTGCTGGCACACTTATAAGACATAACAGCGTCTCTGAATTTGAGCATCTTGCTAACTGGAAGCCATTTGAGTTCGTCAAGTAATGGCGTCACATGGTCATATTTCCGAGCGCCGCAGATAATTTTGCAGGCAAAATTCTGAATAAGTTGCAGCTTTTGGATGTTCTTAGATGAGGTATTAGACCACACGGTCGAACAGTAGAGCATTTTGCTAAAGACAAGATATGTAATAATTAAAACCAAAGTCTTTCTATCAAAACAGTATTTCACGCGGTTGATCTGAACCAGTTTAGTGAAGCAAGAAGAGACTAAGTGGGAGATATGAGTGTCATAGGTCAGGTGTAAATCTATGTATACTCTTAGATCTCTTGCTGATTCGACAGCCATAAGAGTCTTTCCAATAAACGAAACAGTAAAATGAACTGAATGTTTACTTATCATTTGCTTGGTGCCGATCAACATGAACTTCGTTTTCTCAGGGTTTATTAACAAATCATTTGTGCAACACCAGGTGGCAACATTGCGCAAATCATCTTCGAGCTTAAACTTAGCGTAAATGACATCGGCTACGGAAAAAGATAGCAAAACTTTAGAGTCAGCGACGTATGACTCAAGCTGGCAGAATTGAGGAGCGCCAGGCAGATCGTTTAGATAAATACAGAAGAGGAGCAGCGAAAGAATCGCCCCCTGGGGGACTCCGTGTGTGATTGGTAATGGATCTGATAGCACAGAATCGATACGCACTGATTGGGTCCGGTCTGAAAGGTAGCTGCGGAACCACTGAACTACGGCCGGTGAGGCACCTACAGAGGAGAGCTTCTGGAGTAACTTCTGATGGCAAATACTGTCAAAAGCCTTTGAGAGGTCGAGTAAGACTAATGCGCTTATTTCCTTTTTGTCCATCGCCTCTAAAATTAGATCTGTGGTGTAAATATTCAAGGTCTCAGTTGAATGGAGTGACTTGTTGCTGCGTTGGTGGGATGACAATCGATTGCGTGACATCAGGAAGGTGATAAATTGTTCTAGAATGATTTTCTCGCAAACTTTAGACGCAACATTAAGTAGTGATAATGGCCGATTGTTCGGTGGCTGTTCGTGGTCTCCCTCTTTTAGGAGTGGGATGACCTCAGCGATCTTTCCAGTCTGATGGAAAAGTAGAAGTACTGAGTGAGCGGTTGATTATGTCAGTAATAAGCCCGAGTATTACTTGTAGGGCGTCCTTGAATACTCTAGCTTTGGTTTTATCAAGTCCGGGAGCTCTGTTCAATGGTAAAGACAACACCAGTATGAATCGCAATAGTGCACTCTCCTAGGCTCGCTACAAGGGATTCTCCATATCCGAATATCTGCACAGAGGTAGGGTTAAGACTCTTGTCTCCAAATAAGGATTTGTGCAGACACAAAGGCATCACGTTGATCCTGCGCCTGTATCGATGTCGCATTCAACCTGATATATGGGTCTTCCACTTGCTGTACTCAACCTAAGAGGCTTGATGTGCTTGCTTGAAGTATCATTAATACTCTTCACATGAAAAGACTGAATATGGTGAAACATAGTGTATTGGTTATCCTGTAGTATATGTGGACCGAACATCATGTGGTAGTCCTGTGCGGGATCACGAACTGAAGTCTGATTGGCACTGGCTCCAGTCAGCGGTGCTTGTAAACCATGTACTTGAACCTGCCTAGGTTCACCAGTTGTACCTTGTTTACCTGTTTTGCTCTTGCAGCACTTTTTGTAATGTCCTTTCTTTCCACACTTGTGACAAGTAACATCCTTGGCCAGACACTGCGATCTGGGTTGAGCAGGCTTTGCTCCACAACAAAAACAACTTTGTCTTTTTGTATCACCATGCTCTTTATCTTTAGACGTCTTGTCGTGATTTGACCACTCCGTTGATTACAATGCAAGAACATTGGGATCATTCCGAGTAATATGGAAGAGGGTTTGTTTGCTGAGTATGTGAACAAATGGTTAAAGCTCAAGACAGAAGCTTTAAGCTGATGATGCTACAGCATCATCAAACTATGTTTAAAAGCATCATTGACTTCAAGTAATGCAATTGGAAAGTCATAAATGTTCTTTATGCCAACAATGGCAGTTCTTGGTAGGTCGGTAAAGCAAATTGTTCTTCTGACATTTGATCACAGCTTTAGAATAAATCTTGATCATGTCTGTACCAGAACTAAATCTGATTTTCCACATCACAGACATAAAATTTTGTGCAACA